CTGTTGTCCAATCACTACATGATTCTAATGGTATTACCAAATGACCTCCTTTTGTTTCTTCAAGTTGAATGGCATATGTCTCTCCCAAATCGATTGTCAGAATATTTGACGTGAAATCTTGTGTAGCTTTCCATTCCTTCAGAGTTTTCTTTCCACAAAGTAAAGGCACATTAGCATTTACAAGATAAATTGACAAATATTTATGAATATACTGTTCTGGTGACTTTTTCTGTTTTATCTTCAATGGTATGTCATATACTTCAGTGCTGGTATACTTTTCACTTGGACCAAATCTAAAGTTTTGGTTACGTCTTCTTACATTCAATTCTTCTTTACCAATATTATTCTTCTTTAAATAATTGTTAAACCATCTTTCACCTGCAAGACTCTCTGGTGCTCCACTATCTACAATCATAACATCAACATCATCATCAGGTTTAGTAAAATGGATCTTCACACTTTCATCTAATATTATATCCTCACTATCAATAAAGTCACAAATTTGAACGTTAGTTGTTTTCAAACTCTTCACTTCTTCTTCTAATTTCTTTATTCTCTCTTCTAGATTCATTCTCTCTTTACTCTGATATCTCTCTCTACTTATTGATCGATCATTTCTTTCCATTGAAAATCTTCTATTTGCTCCAAATCTTCTTCCTCTTGATACCGACTCTCTTCTTCGATATGTTCCTCCAGAATTTGATCTCCACCATCTGGGATTAGATGCTGACCGTTCAAATCTCCTAAAATCTGGTGTTCTCTTCCAATGTTCATATCTACTTCTATCTGAATTATTACTGGTCCAATAAGCCTTTTTCTCAGATATATCATCTCGTTGTCCTTCTACCTTCATCTCTCTGTATTTCGCCTTTAACTTCGAAAACATTTCACTTTCTTCTAAATGTTCAATCTCACGCTCTATTTCACGTTTTTCACTTTCATTTAATTGACCAGCCTGGAAACATCTTTCAATAAACAAATGTCCCATGCAATAATTAAGTTTCTCTCTGATATTAAAGTTCTCCATTTCCGAAATCATACTTTCAAATTTCATCCAACTCCTTTCACCGCTTTCATCTTTATCAATCTTCAACTCAGTAATTTTACCAATCAAATATTTTGCCTTTTCTTTTCTCGTCTTAGCAAACTTTTCTTCTAATTCTTTCAGAATATTGGTAACTGTTCTTCCGCCACTAGTTTGTAGTTTCTCTATTACTGTTGTAGATACATATTCAACCAGTCCTTCTCTTTCTTTGTTCTTCTTTAAACTTTCTATCAGATCCCAATATTTGTTCAATTCGCTATCTCTGTTATTCTGACCCCATATTTTCACTTGCTCTTTGTATTGTTCAAACGTTTCCTTGGTCCATGTGGGAGGGAGTCTGGCTTTGGTAATCTGAGTGGTGCCTGATGAAATATTCTGTTGATTGTTTTCTACCAGTAATTCAACTATCTTCTGTTGACTAGTTATAAAATTTTCCATTATTTTACTTAAATTTGTGCTACTATCTCCATATTTCTCATCATTAACCTTACTTGCTTGGCCTGCTTTGAGTTGTTCTAATGCCAATTCAGCCCTTGCAGCTCTAAATGCCACCTCTTGTTCGTACATGTCTATAATCTTCTCTTTCTCTGCTTTCTTTTGTTTAGGTTTAATAGGGCATGTGTTATCGTCATTCAAAATATGACCTAATATCGGTCCACCACAAGTTTCACATACAAAATGTTCAAACTTTCCACTGTAGTCAATACTACCATATTGGTCTAAATTTTGAAGTTCATAAACCATATTTTCCACAGGCTTGTAATATTCAAAAATATCTCTAGTATTGGACATTATTAATTTTCTTTGAAGGCATTCAAGGGGGTTGGGGGTAGGTTGTGAATATATTTAAACACTCTTTCTTCGGTCCAACTGCTCCATTTTGTTTCATTACACAACTTCTTCAGACTTGTTCCAACTATTGTGGCTGTCAGAAAATACCATTTCCATATCAAAACTTCTGGCACTATGAATATTCCTGTTCCACTAAAAGGGTTGAATTCTATAGTCTCTCTTTATGTATAACAATTTCTGAACCTTTAAACTTCATATTATCATTTCACAATAAGTCCTGATCTGCACTCACACAGTCATATCCACAGCCCCACCCCATCCCTTGAAATGGGGGAAAAGTTTTAGAACATATTCAATCTAACTTAAATCCACATATAAAATACAACTTTCACAAGATAACTGAGTCTTGAACAACCACGCTCTGCTACCATATAAACAAGTCTTTACTCAATGAAGTTTAATATTAAACTGACTGCCTTGTACATAGATACAATGTTACAAACAATAAGACTAAACAATGTTCACCCAAACTAAGTTCAAACAATTCAGTTCACTGATTACTAGTTAATGTATATCAGTAAGCTCCATTTAATTTGCTTCCACACAGGTCAGCCATCTAAACTATGCTCCCACACAGGTAAGCCCCTTAAATTGCTTCCACACAGGCAAGTCATCAAAACTTTGTTTTCACACAAGTAAGCTCTCCAACTTTCACACAGGTAAGCCCCCTTTAATTTTCTTCCACACAGGTAAGCCCCCTTAATTTGCTTTCACACAGGTATACCCCTTAACTTTGCTTGTGCACAGATAAGCTCACTCACTCAAAGTTATTAAGGAAAAACATTCACTTTACTACTTGCCGACACAGTATAAATAAATTAAAACAACCTTAGTTTTTATGTCCCATGTTAGATTGCGGAACAACAAAGCTGAACACTTTAACCTTAAATGAAATGGGGTTTAACGTCCTACTGTTCTGCTCCTAACCTGGGCTAATGAAGACGGGCATATGCCATACAGTGTGCTATGAGGGAAATTTTGCCCGGGCAGTGGCGCTATGGCCTACTCTTATATCGAATTCCAACTGCCAAGGGATCTTTTATGTGCACGGCAATATGTACACGGGACCTCGGTTTTTCGTCCCATCCGAATGACTAGACAGCTGTCCTTGTCATGCCCTCCGTCCTGCATCACTGACAAGGGGAAACCACGCCGGAAAATCCTGATGAACTTTCTCGGCCAATGCAGAGATCGAACACCCGACCTCCAGGCTAGTGAGCCAGCGTCTTACCCGCTTAGCCACTTAACCTTAAATTAAATTAAAACAACCTTATAGTCTCTGTCCCATGTTAGGTAAGCCCCTTAACTTTGCTTGCACACAGGTAAAGCCCTTTTATATACTCAAAAGAGGTCAACCTTAGCGTATGTTCCATGTTAGATTCAGGAACAACAAGGCTGAACAGTCTCTCCTAAAATTATTAAAGATAAACATTCACTTTACTACTTGCCGGCACAGTAGAAATAAATTAAAACAACCTTATTGTATGTCCCATGTTGGACTATGGAACAACAAGGCTGAACAGTTTCACCCTAAATTATAACATTTGCTTTACTACTGGCCAACACAGTTGAAATAAATTAAGACAACCTTATTTTGTGCTCCATGTTAGATCGCGGAACAACAAGGTTGAGCAAGACTCACCCAAACTATTGAAGAAAACATTCACTACTTTATCTACATGGTAGAAATAAATAAGACAACCTTTGGTGGATGCTCTATGTTATAATTATATTGCGGAACAACAAAGCTGAACAGGCTCACCCAATATTATTAATAAAGACAAATAGACATCTATTACATCCTAATCAATCGATCACAGCTAAACACAAGTCAGGCGTGACGCATGCACGTGCGTGACCCATATCAACGTCTTTCTTCAATTACTGATATACATAATAGCCAAGAACTAATGCCAGATAATCCTCCATTCTAGCATCCAAGATTTTCTCTGGCCCGTTCATTATCAAAGTTTGTCAGTCGCAAACCTTTTTCGATCTACATGTATTGCATTGAAAGTTTCGATATTTACACCAGGTACAATATTGGTCAATTTCTTCGGGTGAACCATTTCCTCTAAACGCCTTCAGAAATTTTAAAAATTTGCAAAGGGTTTACTGTCCCGTTCAGCGCTGTTTGCGACATTTTAATAGATCGTGAACTTGACTTGACGACTCAAGTGTTTCAGACAAAGAACAGTTGGGACACTTCTCTCTTACGGCAAGGGCCGGTAACTCAGTGAATAGTATAACCCTGTAACAGAAGGTTGCAGAATGTTGAATATCTACGGGTTGGTCCTCTTATGAGCTCAATGCTTCACACTAAACTTAATAAAAATCAGTTAGCATCTATCTCATTCAAAAGGTTTTCTGAAAAGGGGAGGAGAGGTAACTCCAGAATGGAATTCGCGCGGAATGCTGATTATCAATACTGGTTGTCCTCTCGTGATCTCGATCACAAACCTTCACCACTCGGCAAACCTCGGCAGATTCCGTTACTCTACACCTAGCCTCGGCTGTATGACAGTAAGTGATATGTACCTACACCTATACAATTAAGATGCGGCACCGGTTTATTTCTCAGGAAAACTTGCTGCTTTTAAAAAGATTTCAAAATTGCGTCGTTCGAAGCGTGTGTAGAATTTTCAGTGCAAAGTTGTCCTTGTTTGAAGAAAATGGGATAAACTTGAAAGAAAAACAGCTTCAGGCTTTGAAATATTTGTAGGATAAAACATTCTTCAAAGGCGTCGTCATGGGCAACACCGTTTGCAATCCAGGAACTTCTAAGTAGTTCCAATGGCGGACTTCCTCAATCAGCCGAGGCTAGATGTAGGGTACTGGAATCAGCTGAGGTTTGCCGAGTGAAACCTTCACACCAAATTGCAAGCCAATTATTCACGGACCAATGGATATAGAGTGATGACATAATACGTCGACACTGAAATGTGGGAGTGTAAAATGATAACTTTGCAAGCAATGGATTGGCTTGCTCCAATTGTAAAGGTTTTTTTTCCTTGCATGACCATGTGTACAGGGGTGTTTAGGCTTTTAGGTTATGGAGGGAGTATTATGTATATTCATTATGGATGTATATTAATATTTACAGGTCATGTAGATTTTACTGTGGAAGTAGAAAGATGTTTAAGGGTATTAGATGGGGCTGTTGTGGTTCTTGATTCTTCAGCAGGTAAATATTTACTATATTAACTCTTTGTATATGATGAAACCTTCTGTTGTCTTTGTAGTTGAATTATTTTGATTAGACTTTTATAATACAGTGGTATTCTAGAGTCCGCATCTGAAAGGGTTAATAGCCAGTCCACGAGAAAACCATGCAGAAGGTTCGAAGGTGGGGGTCGGCCGATTGAGTTCATATTTACAGGGTTTGGTCGACCCATCGAGCCTACTCCCCAGCTAAAATTACCGATTTTAGAAATCAACTGTTTCCGAGATACAGCCTGATTACGTTTTTCAGGTCAAATTTTGACCATTTTTGTAGTATTGCTATAGCCATTAATCGACCAATGGAGAACTAGGTTTTGGTTGGTGATTATATTCTGGGTCTCACCCTACCATAATATAACAGTCATCCAGTGCAACCTCTCTTTCCGTAGGTGTCATGACACTACACAAAATATGTGTCTGCAGATACCTGAATTATACCCTTTTTTTCGAATTGCAATAACTCCATCCACTGGAGCAAGGTTTGCAATAAAAATGAAAATCGTTGTCAGCTAACCTTCAACAGTATGAAAATTGTGTCAAAAGTTACAAAATTCGTCACTTTTTTCGCGTCGAATTTTGGTTTCTTAAGTGTTGGGATTTTGCCCGTACATTCAGGACATGTCCTGCGCTGTTTTCCAAATGTCGGGTCAGGAATATGCCCAATCGGACATAAAGATTTGGTGAATACTATTCAAAATTTCAAAATTAATATAATGTACTGAGTGTATAACTACCACTTATCCAGATTGTCATCACAAGTAATTCTTATTTTGGACGCCTTTCTTTCATTGCTGCCGTATAAACGAATTAGATAATTAAGTGGTCAGCGTATTTATCGTGTTATCCCGTCTATACACCCACCTTGTTTACCTGCTTAATCTGCCCTGCTTGACTGACTCATTCATCAATTTAATCTTGAACAGAAGTTATTGCTTCTCTTTTGTCGGACTATTTATCAATCCAATAAGAGTGAGTATCAACCTTATCTATGTGATTACCTCGGTGGTTTCTCCATTGTCGGACATTTTAATCTCATTGATATCAACCGACAGGACGTAGAAACTAGTCCTTTATGTCACATATTATCCCAACAGTATATAACACCCCAATTCTATCGACAGTCATTATAAATTTCAAAACCTGTGTCTATTGTTAACTATTAAACCTTTAACTTATTTTCTGTTTTGAAACTACGTCTTTTAAAACACCATATATAAATTCCCATCTACAGTGGCACTTTTGGGCGATCTCGAGTATCACACGAAAAAAAATCACTTACCATATAAGGCAGTGCTTACTACGATACTACTGTTTGTGTTATATGTTAACGGTCATGTACGCCATATGCTGAAGTTCTGTGTGCATTTTATAAGTGATTTAACTATCAATTCAATTTTAAAATACCATTTTACGACAATGATTTGACATCACCACAAGTAACTCTTATTTCGGACGTCTTTCTTTCATCGCTGCCGTATAAACGAATAAATTTTGGAGGAATATTACTGACATAAATTTTGAATATCATACGGGAATTGAATATGAATAAGCGGTTGCCATGCAAGATACGCCCACATGTTGCAAGAGATGGACAGAGAACAAGCTAACTAAAAAGCGAATATCGAAAAGGAACCTAGGTCTTTGGGATACAAACACACATTTTAAGTTTCATCAAAATCGGATAAAAATTAGACCATTTTTAAAATCGGAAAAAAAATGTGACATCATGAGGAACTTCAAGCTAAAAATGCAATTTTGCATACAATCGGGGGCCATATTCCACGAAGTTACTGTGTGATATGTGCGAATATCAACAGAGACCGAGATCTTTGAAATCTAAACATATATTTTAAGTTTCATCAAAATCAGATAAAGATTGTGACCTCGAGGGTGTCCATAATCTTGGCATTACTTACTTTTACATTATTTGTGTACGAGGAGCGGCCATTTTGTCCGGCAGTTTCGGTCCGATTTTCACTAATTTCGAACTTCGCTATCATAGCGTGTAATGATGATATATATTAAAAATGTTTTTTTTTATATTCGAAAAAAAATTGTGACCTCTAGACGGGCGACAACCTAAAAATACCATTTTTGTACTATCATGGGCCATAATCCAGGAAGTTAAGATCTGATATGCGGGAATATCAAAAGGAACAAAGCTCTTTTGGTTATAAACATATTTTTTAAGTTTCATCAAAACCGGATTTAAAATGTGACATTCAGTGTCCACAAGCTAAAAACATGATTTTTCGTAAAATCAGGGCCATAGTCCATGACGTTACGGTCCGATACGAGATAACCTATATTTTAAGTTTTGCTGAAAGTGGATAAAAAATGTGACCTGTAGAGTGTCCATAAACAAATTGTGGATGGACGGACAGGGACGACGACAATATACATCCACACGCGAAAGTGAGCGTACAAAAATAGCGAGGTGTTCCTATTTTTATTACGTGCGGATTTGACATTTTATAAAGAAGAAAACAATGTTTTGATATCACAAACTATTGTTATTTCGAAAGTTCTGCATTCATTTGCTGTCGTATAATGAACACACGTAATTTTGATGGAATATTACTATTATGAATTTGAAGCCGAAGCAGGATCGGCAAGCTTTCATTTAATCAATGTATTACGAAAATACGTACTTTTGTACGAATATTAACATAAATTTGAATACCATACGGGAATTAAATATGAAAAATATCAAGATGCAGCTATTTTTATTACGTACGGGATTTGAATATTTTGTTGACATGTGCTTAAATAACCATAAGAGTTATGCCCCTTTATTTTTGGTAAAATTGCCGACAAGAACATTTTTGAAATCCCAACTCTAACTCATTTGTTTTTCATTATTTTCGAATGAGATATGGTTTGTGGATAGAGCAACGTGTGAACTTCAATTTGTATCCCTGATGACCTCGCGATTGAAGGTCACGGTCAAGTTCAAATGGGCGATTTTTATGGAAATTGGGTCTGTTTTGCATAATTGTCGATTTTCATCTGCTCTAAGTCGACTGTTTTTCAAAATTTTGAATTGAAATTTCTCATTTTTCATAGAAAAAAATGTTTAAATAATCAGGATCGACATTTTAGATCGAGAATTTGCAAAAATCCATATTCACTGGGAGACGCCATCTTGGATTTGTAGACTGGATACCAAACCACACCGAGACTGAATATTTTGGCAAAGCAGGTTGATGGGGAGCCGGAGTTGATATATTGACCCTTTGAATAACAATATAGGCGATTGGGTACCTGAATAATCCGCCGATGTATCCCAATTAAAACTGAAGTTTTTGCTACCTTTCGACACAAATTTTCACACTGTTGCAAGTTAGCTGACAACGATTTTATTTCTTATGTTGTTAGAACTGGTCAAGCTGCAAATAAATTGATTTTAATTGTTATCGCAAACTCTGCTCCAGTGGAGTTATCGCGATCTGAAAATAGGGGTACATTTCTGGTATCTCCAGACATGTATCTTGTGTAGTCTCCTGACACCTATGGAAAATCAACTTTAACCGGATCACCATGATAATGTGATAGGGTAAGACCCCAACTATCATGAACAACCAAAACCTAGTTCGGCAGGGTCATGTAACAGCGGTAGTAGTGTGACAAAAATAGCTAAAATTTGGCTTAAATCAACCGAAAAACGTAATTGGCCTGTATCTCGGAAACGGTTGATTTCTGAAATTGGTGATTTTGGCTGGGGAGTAGGCTCGATGTGTCGCCCTAACCCTGTGAATATGAACTCAATCGGCCGACCCCACCTTCGAACATCTGCATGATATTGCATGGTTTTCTCGTGGACTGGCTCTTAAGACTTTTGTAGCCCCTCGTGTATAAAATCTTGTTTATTATCTATAAAAAAATTGTTTTAGGAAAGCAGTAAAATTATGATCAAGATTACAAATCAGCTGATAGTAAAAGAATCCTAATTATCCATGATTTCATTTAAAAAAATTTAATTTTAAACTTGTTTGTTATAGGGGTTGAAGCACAAACAAAAACAGTATGGAGGCAAGCGGACAAGTATTCAATTCCTAGGATAGTCTATTTAAACAAAATGGACAAACCTGGAGCTTCTATTGAAAAATGTCTTACTTCACTAAAAGAAAAACTCAATGTTGAACCCTTGCTTCTCCATCTACCAGTCGGAAAGGAAGTCGATTTTGCAGGGATTGTAGACCTAGTCACTTTAAAGAAATTTGTTTGGAATCTGGAGAAATCACCAGACGGACGAACATTTTCTACAGAAAATCTAACAGCAGCAGATACGTCAGTAGATTATCATGACATCTTGCAAGCTAGAACAAGTCTTATTGGTCAGTTGTCTGAATATGATGGAGAATTAGGAGAAATGATTTTAAGTTATAAGAAAATAAAAGATATTCCTGCAAATGCTATATCTAAAGCTGTTCGAAAAGTTACAATTGATCAAAATTGTGTACCAGTTTTCTGTGGTAGTTCACTTAAAAATAAAGCTGTTCAACCATTAATGGATGCTGTAACACACTATCTACCAAGTCCTTTAGATTCAACTTACAGCTTTGCAGATTTTTACGGAAGTGACCTGTGTGCTTTAGCATTTAAGATAATTCATGACAAACAGCGTGGTGCTTTGACATTTTTACGTTTGTATTCTGGCTCTTTGAAGTCTGGTGAATCTTCATATAATGTAAATCGTGAGTGTACAGAGAAAACTAGCAGACTTTTACATGTATATGCTAATGAATATCATGACACAAATAAGGTTACAGCAGGAAATATTGCTTGTGTTTCTGGTTTAAAGGAGGTAATAATAATTAGTGCAGTTATCATTCATTAATGCGATCCCGGTGTTGGCAGAGAAAGTTCACCTGGGCTTTCCAGCGTGGTGTCCACTTGTCATTGGTGCAGGACAGAGTCTAGACGTTAGTTGCGACGAAAAGCACTTGACAATCTCATTGCTGTACATCAGCACTACATGGATACAGCAGCCTATGATGCAATTATCGCCCTCATTGCTGTTCATCAATGCATGGGATGAAAAATTGAAGATTCCATGTAAAATCAACACTTTAGACATTTGGGAATCAATTGACAACCAGCAAATCAAAGACAAGGAAGCCCTAGTTTGTCATGTCAGGCCTGGAAATAACGGTTGTAGATGTTCCTGACATAATGTCAGGCACTAATGAAATAGTACCTGACATTTTCAACTTAGTGCCGGACATGTATTAATAATATAAATAAAAAAGACAAATCATTGTCGGACAAAATGACAGGCACCAGAGGTTATGTGCCTGACAAAGCCTGTATTTGTGCCTGACATTGTCTGTGACAGTTGCCTTATTTCCAGGCGTGGTCATGATCATCTACCAGTAGTATTTGTTTTCTGCTGCTGCTATTCTGCTAAAAAGGGAAATTTAATATGTTAATATGTTAACATTATGTTATATTCCCCCACATGAAAATGTGGTTGTATATTGTCGTTGCCACCGTCTCTCATGTACAATTTATTGTGAACACCCTACAGACTACAGTTATATGATCTTTTTATACGCGCACATTTTCATGTGGACGTATATTGTCGTCGCCCCTGTCCGTCCGTCCACAATTGTTTGTGGACACTCTACAGGTCACAATTTTTATCCGATTTTAACGAAACTCGGTTCCTTTCGATATTGGCATGTATCGGACGGTATTCGGAACGTAACTTCATGAATTATGGCCCCGGATTGTACGAAAAATCATGTTTTTAGCTTGTGGACCCTATAGAAGTCACAATTTTCATCTGATTGTGTTGAAATTTAAAATGTAAGTTTATAATCCAAAGATCTTGGTTCCTTACGAAATTCGCGCATATCGGACTGTAAATTCCTGAATTATGGCCCCTGATTATACGAAAAATCATGGTTTTTTTCAAGCTTGTGGACCCTATGGAGGTTACAATTTTATTCCAATTTAAAAAACGTTTGAATATATCACCGTTACACTTTAATGATGGTTGAGTTTGAATTTCGTGAAAATCGGACCAAAACTGCTGTACAAAATGGCCGCCCCTCGAATGCAAACAGTGTAAAAAAAATGGTATATCAAGGTTGTGGACCCTCCAGTTCACAATTTGATCCGATTTTGATGAAACCTGAAATACCTGTATATAACCCAAAGATCTTGTTTCCTTTCGATATTTGCTCATATCAGATTGTACCTTCATGAATTATGGCCCCTGATTTTACGGAAAATCGCATTTTTAGCTTGTGGTCCCACAAGAGGTCACAATTATTATCTGATTTAAAATAAACATTTGAATATTACTGGTTGAGTTCGAATTTCATGAAAATCGGACCAAAACTGCCAGACAAAATGGCCGCCCGTCTACGCAAATAGTGTAAACATCTGGTATATCAAGGTTGTGGACCCTGTAAAGCTCACAATTTTGATGAAACTTGAAATGCATGTTTATAACCCAAAGATCTTGGTTGCTGTTGATATCTGCGCATATCAGATCGTAACTTCTGATTGTACGAAAAATCCTGTTTTTAGCTTGTGGTCCCTCTAGAGGTCACAATTATTATCTGATTTACAAAAACGTTCAAATATATCACCGTTACACCATAATGTTGATTTAGTTCGAATTTCTTGAAAATTAGACGAAACTGCCAGACAAAATGGCCGCCCCTCTACCCAAATATAAACATCTGGTATATCAAGGTTGTGGAGCCTCTAGAAGTCACAATTTTGATCCGATTTTAATGAAACTGGAAATGCATGTTTATAACCCAAAGATCTTGGTTCCTGTACCTTCCTGAATTATGGCCCTTGATGTTATTTGCACATATCAGATCGTAACTTCCTGAATTATGGCCTCTGATTGTACGAAAAATCCTGTTTTTAGCTTGTGGTCCCTCTAGAGGTCACAATTATTATCTGATTTACAAAAACGTTCAAATATATCACCGTTACACCGTAATGTTGATTTAGTTCGAATTTATTGAAAATCAGACGAAAACTGCCAGACAAAATGGCCGCCCCTCTACCCAAATATAAACATCTGGTATATCAAGGTTGTGGAGCCTCTAGAAGTCACAATTTTAATCCGATTTTAATGAAACTGGAAATGCATGTTTATAACCCAAAGTTCTTGGTTCCTGTACCTTCCTGAATTATGGCCCTTGATGTTACAAAAAATCGCTTTTTGTTTAGCTTGTTCTCTATCCATCTCTTGAAAAATGTGGGCGTATCCTGCCTGGCAGCGGCTGGTTTAATTTATACCTGTCGTTGTCCCCCACCTTTGGAATAAAACATGTCATATGTTCTGGAACACAATAACTCAGATTCTAATTGCTAGGTGTGTATTTCGTGAATATTTGACTGAGTGCGATGATAAAAATTTTCGGCTTAGGCTAAGCAAGCAAAGATGCAATTTCATTGATTGATGGTTTGGAATATAACTTTGATACTAATTGGGTAAGAGTGATGAAACTCAGAGTAGATCATGACCTTGACTAAGTTCAATCATGAGCTTTTTCTGCTTGGGATGTGTCATCTATTTATTTTAGAATTGAGACTTTGGACATTAGGCTTACTGTTGGCTTGTTTTATATATTGCAGATTATAACTGGAGATACTTTGACCAATTCCAAATCTACAGCTTTAGCTGCTGCTACCAAATATCATACAAAGATGAATATGGAAGCTGATAATAATAATAATAATTTGGCTATTTTAGCAGGTTTTGAAGTACCGTCTCCAGTTTTCTTCTGCTCAATAGAACCACCATCATTAGCAGCACAAAAACATCTAGACAATGCCTTATACTGCCTTCAGCGTGAAGATCCCAGCTTGACCGTTGAGGTGAATGAAGAAACTGGACAAACTATTTTAATGGGAATGGGTGAATTACATCTAGATATTATAAAACAGAGAATTCTAGAAGAATATAGAATTGCTGTTGATATTGGACCCCCACAAGTAGCTTATAGAGAAACCATCGCTTGTAACGCTGAACTTGAGGAAAATCTTGACAAAATAATAGGAGGGAAGGAACAGAATGTTACGATGATGCTTTCAATAAAACAAGACGGATCTACTCCTAAATTTAAACATGTTAAATTAGAATTTTCTCATGCGAAACCTTTACATCGCCATATAAAAAAAGATCAACTTGCAGCTCTTAATAATGGAGTTAAATCAGCATTAATGTGCGGTAAGTGTTGTTGTTTATTCCAGATTGGTAAGTGGTAAGTTTTATTACAATTTATTTATAGCTGATTTGGTATACTGATAAAAATTTATTTATAGCTCATTACTAGTATAGTGATAATAATTTATTTTATAGTTCATTACTAGTATAGTGATAATAATTTATTTATAGTTCATTACTAGTATAGTGATAATAATTTATTTATAGCTCATTACTAGTATAGTGATAACAATTTATTTATAGTTCATCACTAGTATAGTGATAATTTATTTTATTGTAGTTAATAATTTCTTATGTATAGATATAATGTAAAGTAAGATAATCAAAGGTTGTGTGCAACCATTTCATTTTGATTTTATAACCTGTTATTTTTTTCACCAAAGCAATCAAAATATCTCGTAGTAAAGTTGGTTAAATTTTTAATTTTAAGATTATAACACTATCCGATTTAAAAAAACAACCGGTAAGCCTCGAAATAAGGCACCTGTCACGCATATTGTCAGGCACAAATACAGGCTTTGTTAGGCTCAAGATCTTTACAAAGGTAAAGAGAAACGTGTTTCATTAATAGTGTGTCATCAGTTCGCCCTGACTGAAATAGTTTAATCCACAGATTGTTTTGTAAATGTATTTTCAGGAACTTTGCTTAATTTTCCTGTAACAGATGTATGTGTAGAGTTGCATAGTTTTACAGCAGGATATAATACATCATCAGCCATGATATCGGCGTGTGCTAGTCAATGCATACACAAATTATTAAAACAATCAGATCCAGTTTTATTAGAACCAATGATGGCTTTAACAGTGGGTATATTATTTGTAGTTTTTAATTACATAAAAATAAATAACCTTTGAAATATTTGCCACCCACATATATATCTACAGGTCTGATGCTCTTGTAGGATAGTTAAGAATTTTTCAAATGAAACTGCCTTGTCTGTTAGAGACATTTTTCATTTATTCCTGGGGCTTAACATCCACTTCAAACGAATGGTGATTTTCACAGAAAATGACAGGGTCTAGGCATGTTACATGTAAATAGGGCACGTTAAATTAGACATTTTAAACTTGCCATTATAACTTTCTGTGAAAGCCAGGGCAAGGTGGGGATGACTATTAAATTATCATATAAATTATCATATCCATTATCTTGTCCTATTCATTATCATTATCATATTCATTCACTTTTAGTTCAATTATCCATGCTACATGTGCATATTTAATTAGTCTACAGTAATATGATCCTTTGAAACATAATAATTTTACATCTATTGAATGGATTTTGTTAAAACATGGAATATATACTGAGACGCTCTTTATAAATACACTTTAATCTCAAATTCTGATTGTAACAACATCGGATCACGATGATATATATAATACGTGAGAATGATGTTTTCACAATTGCATCAACACAATCATTTACAGCTCAAATACAAAACCAGCGGCTGCCAGGCAGGATACACCCACATTTTGCAAGATATGGATAGAGAACAAGCCAAAAACAAACCAGATTTTTTGTACAATTAGGGGCAATAATCCAGAAAGTTATGGTCTGAAATCAAGGGCCATAATTCAAGAAGTTACGATCAAAATCAGAAGAAAATTGTGACCTCTAGAGGGTCCACAACATTGATATACAAATGTACATATTTTTACGCTAATTGTGTACGAGGGGCGGCCATTTTGTCCGGCAATTTTGGTCCGATTTTCACGAAATTCAAACTCAACCAAAATTACGGTGTAACACTGATATATTTGAACGTTTTTTTAAATCGGATAATAATTGTGACATCTAGAGGGACCTCAAACTAAAAACGCGATTTTTATACGCCCACATTGAAAGAAGCCTAATGATTTCAGCGATTTCCGATAACTACTGCCAGAGTTATGGCCCTTGATCACTTTGAAAAATCTTGTGACGCTCTAGAGGCTAAAGTTATCATCCGATTGACTTCAGATTAATACACAGAGTTTAAGGTCTTGAGACGAACAAGTATATTGATTTTCAATGAATCTTTATGACTTGAACAGCTAAATCCATGATATTAAAGGTTACATATACTAAACGTTAGCCTGGGCCCGAACTTTATAAAAACCAAACAAATTCTAATTGTTTTCTGATAATTACTTAATGAGTTGTTACTCTTAATCAGATTTTAATGTATTATAAATGTTTCATTACCGAAAAAAGTAAAAATATGTGACAACTCTTGTTGACTGCCCGGACGATATAGCTGCTGTGGGCGTATGTTTCGTTGCCTGGCAACCTATCTTTCGTAAAATCAGGGGCCATTATTCGGGAAGTTACGGTCAGATATGCGGGAATATCGAAAGGAACCAAGATCTTTGGGTTATAAACTTACATTTCAAGTTTCATCAAAATCAAAAGAAAACTGTGACCTCTAGAGAGTCCACAACATTGATATACCATATTTTTACGCTATTTGAGAATGAGGGGCGGCCATTTTGTCTGTTAGTTTTGGGCCGATTTTCACGAAATTCGAACTCGGACGGCCTTAGGGTGTAACAGTGATATAATAATACGGTTTTACAAATCGAATAAAAATTATGACCTCTATAGGGTCCACAAGCTAAAAACGCAATTTTTCGTACAATCAGGGGCCATAATTCTGGACGTTACGGTCCGATATGCACTAATATCAAAAGGAACCGAGATCTTTGGGTTACAAACTTACATTTCAAGTTTCAACAAAATCGGATAAAAATTGTGACCTCTATATAGGGTCCACAACCTTGATATACCATATTTTTACGCTATTTGAGATCGAAGGGCGGCCATTTTGTCTGTCAGTTTTGGGATGATTTTCACGAAATTCGACCTCAGTCGTCCTTAGGGTGTGACGGTGATACAATAATTCGTTTTTTCAAATCGGATAAAAATTATGACCTCTATAGGGTCCAAAAGCTAAAAACGCGATTTTTCGTACAATCAGGGGCCATAATTCAGGAAGTTTCGGTCCGATATGCGCGAATATCAAAAGGAACCAAGATCTTCGGGTTATAAACTTATATTTCAAGTTTTATCAAAATAGGATTAAAATTGTGACCTCTATAGGGTCCACAACCTTGATATACCATATTTTTATGCTATTTGAGAACGAAGGGCGGCCATTTTGTCTGTCAGTTTTGTCTGTCAGAACTCAGCCGTCCTTAGGGTGTAACGGTGATATAATAATATGTTTTTTTTAAATCGGATAAAGCTAAAAAAGCGATTTTTCGTACAATCAGGGGCCACAATTCAGGAAGTAATCCCTCTCCCCAAAATTTTAACATGTAAAGAGATAAGACAAAAGAAATATTTACACTATTTACAATATGATACAAAAATATAACTATATTCAATCAATCAATCAATTGCACATGCATTCAAAGTGGGCTAATAATAATGATAATAATAACCGGTTTCACAACATAGTGATCATCAGGGTAACTTATACATTGTGTTGCTAATGGTATAGCGTTAACAATGGCAAGGGACATAATTCATGACGTCATACGCAGTAAATGTGACGTCAACATGATTTCATGTTAGTTACAGTTTAGTTTAGGGGTATATCCTTCAATATATCGTTCTTTGATTTTCCTCGACTCTTTATTCTCTGTGCGCATTTTGTATATAGGACAGATTGCTAACTGGGGATTGCAATTCTTTGCACATTCATCTATATGTGCTGCATCTATAATATGGGGTTTTAATTTGTTGTTTATGTACTCAGACTCTTGCTCTCAATACATCCCCCGTTTGACCAATATATTCTTCACCACAACAACATATTTTCCATTATTTTGAATTTTGAGTTATTCCTAAAGGTGAATGAATTTACCTCCAAAATGTGTGAACATGTGCCGCAATTCGGCCTATTACATTTCGTGATACTTCCACCTAACAAAGGTTTTTGATCAATAAAGCATGCTTTTGATAACATTTGTTTCAGATTTTTGCTCTGCCGTTTACTATTTATCATTTTAGTACCTTTTAGAGCATGCTTTAGTTTTGGACATGTGTCTAGCGCCTGTACATAGTTTCTCACATTTGGATAAATATTTGGATTGCAGGGGTTAAATGTAGTAATAATAGGTAAGGCTGCCAAATTGTTTTCTTGTTCCCTTTTTCTTGTTCCCTTTGTTTTAGAAGATAGCCTCGGTTAAAAGAACAGGCCATTGTTATAGCATCCAAAATGATACTATCAGGATACTCTCTGGCTTTTAATAGTTTCTCTAATTCTCTCAGCTTTAAGTCTAGAGTAGTGGGGTCTGATACCGTGGTACATATTCTACGGGCTAGTGAATATATCGAATGCTATTTTTAATATGGCGTGGATGGCAGGAGCTGTAGTCTAAATACTGTTTGGAATCTGTAGGTTTATAATAGATTTCAGTTTCAATTCGTCCTGACTTTATAGTTACCATTTCATCTAAGAATGGTAACTTTTCGTTGCTATCTTCCATTGTAAATGATAGACTTGGATGTAAGTATTGAAGTAGGCTATATTATGTAGGTCTTTCAAGGAATCATTTTCTTGCGTCCACAATATAAAACAGTCACTTCTCTGCAGGTAGGTTGAGTCTGTTGTTCAGATTGACATTGTGAAAGAGCTAAATTAGACATTAATTAACTTATATAAATCATAATCAACTCTCAATGCCATTGCTAGCCTGTGATATTTAGCCAATTGGAATACATATTTTGAAAAATAATTGAACGTAAAAATGGATAATCGATACTTTGGGGGTTTTTTGTACCGACTTTAGTAATGATGATCGAGGCTAGCCTAAAAATTCAACAGCTTATATCCTGGTTCAAAGTGGAGCAATTTGACTGAAATTTTCAGAATATCGTGGGTCTCAGCTTAAAACCTCGTATAACCGATTTTTGGCCAAAAACATTTTTTGATACCATTGTAAAGCTCGTAAAAGCGCGTTACTGAATATCAAAACCTCGTTTAGCTACGACAGTTTTAAATGTATGAAAATGTCTAAATAAATATCACGTATAAAATGACATACAATCAAAACCCCGTATAATAATATACATGGTTTCTGAATTGCAAATATTATCAACTGTAATATATAAACCTCGTATAAACCGATATACGAGGTTTTCATACTACAGATTCCTGTCATTAGGCATCTATTTATTATAATACAAGGTCATTTTAGCCAAGTAAGAGATCGACGTATCAAGATAAAACATAGGTTTTGTTTAAACTTTACTAGAATTATGAAAGTTTCATTGTTTTTGTGCCATTCAGTATCACACTGTTTAATTCTGGCATGGAAAAAGAAGTAAATTTAATGTGTAATGTTCGTGTATTACTGAATGTGTCACTATGACTAAATGTCACATGGTCTAGATTTTACACGTGGTCCAGATTTTAGATTAGACCAGTGATTCTCAACCAGTGTGCCGCTAAATCTTCCTAAGTGTTCCACGAAATTTTGAATGGCACACCAAGAAAATTTCTCACTAAAGAAGCTAGCTATTTGACTGATGAAATTAGAAACACTGTAATAAAGTAAGCTCATAGCCGTGTTTTTCTTTATTTAGTTCGAGTCATTCAATGTGTCTATGACTAGTCTGTGCCTACGGTTGTATGCCAACTATGACTTGACATGTTTTTATTTTGCAAAATTCAAATATTTTTCACATATATTTAGCCAGGTGTGGTGCTATTTTCTCATGTGTTTTAAGGTGTGCCGTTGGCAAAAAAAGGTTAAGAACCACTGCATTAGACAAAGCCTTTAAGCCTACAAACACGAACAATGCTACGATGTTTACTTACGCCATACCAAAATATGTCATAATAATAGAAAAATGGCACAATTAAACGTCTTTGTTCATGCTTTTACAATGGAGAGAATCGCCATGGACATCCTTGGACCTTTGCCACTCACCAATATAGGTAATTGATATATAATAGTAATCAGCGACTGCTTTACCAAATGGACAGAAGCTTCAGCTCTACCCATCCCTTAAAGCCCAGCTTAGGCATGGGCCTTAGGGGCCCAGGCCGCGGTTCATGGCAAAAAGAGAAAAAATTCAAATTGCAGATGAAAGTTTCACGGTAATCATCTAGCGGTGCGAGGGCCGAGACTGAGCTATACCTCAACCTTCTCTGTGAAGTTCCACTCGGTGATCGGTCTAGGCTTCCCCGCCATTATATGCCATATCCGCGCATTGTATGCCATTCGGAACTGAATAGATTTCGTATGTGATCAGCTATTATATGTAATCATTCTTGTATTACAGACCGTTTAATCGTTTGTGCCCATGTGTGCCATTCAAAAGGATATGAAATAATCTTTTAGTCGCGTTAGGGGCCCCGCGATTCTTGTCAGGCCCAGGGTTCCGCTCCGGTTAAGCTGGGCTTTGCCATCCCCGAAGCCAAGACTGTAGCTATGACATTAGAATGCTGACCAGGGAACAAACTATCAAAGTAAACTCTTTCATGACGTCTGTTCTCTGAAAGACATACATTAGACTAGAACGACTAGTTTCCGACCCCAATCAAATAGAAGTGTAGAAAGATTGTATTGTGAAAAAGACCAGGAATTGTGGGATGAATATTTACCACAAGTCATGTTTGCCTATGGATCATTTGTTCATTCAAGTACAGGCAAAACCCCGAATATGATGTTTTTTGGCAGAGAGCTAACTTTACCAATGCAGGCAATGATTGGGCAGCCAGCAAGGGAAGTAACTGAACAAGATGTAGACAACTATTTGTCATGTCTTCAACACAAAAACAAACAATGTCACGAGATAAGTTGGAAGTTCCTTGTTACAGGAAGAAGTACTATGACTTAAAGGACAATATTGGTGTCAGTCATTATCACATATGTGATCATGGGTGTCACACATGGGGGGGTCCGACCCCCCCAATTGTTTTTCTGGGAGGGTCTGAATATACTTGGACCCCCCCAAAAAATTTACATAGTAGGCCCAAACTCCTATTTATTTACAACAATTATTAGGATTAGTTAAGATTCTATCTGTATAAAACCTGTACATATCCCAATATGGTTTATACTGCTAAAATAAAACACACAGATAATCATCCTAGAAACATGTGTGAAGTGAAAAGTACCTGTGTTCCATAAAATTGTGTCTAGTTAGCCTGTCAGTAATATTTTGTTAGTTTTTTTCTGCTAATTATCAGAGTGAATCGCATGTAGGTACCCAAAAACATAACCGCCTAAACCAAATATTTATCGCCCGCTCAGCCAGCCACGTAACCATAATGCTTTTGCATGAGGTGTCTGTCTTGGTAGACAGCATGGCCACATGGTGTTTGTTTATATTTTTTAGGGGTTTTAAAAAATGGTTTAGGGTTAGGGTTGCGGACCCCCCAAATATATATTTCACGGCTACGCCTCTGTATTTGATAGAACTAATTAAACATGTTCCAAATATAATTTTGAAACAGAGATCATTGCTACGATAGCTGAGTAATACAGGTTTCCTGAATCGGAAGTGAAGAACATCAAAGGAAAACACAAGTCATACCTCTATATAACTGACTGATGTGACGAGTGATAACAGATACACGGCCGAATTTCTGCTCACTAATAATTCATTCCAAGACCAAAAGTTGTTGTGTGAGACTGTGAGAGATAGGATATCTGAAAATTCATAAAAAGAATTGACTGCCACTAGATAAGAGAACACGAAAGAAAAACAGAAAGATAGGTTGCCAGACAACGAAACATACGCCCACAGCAGCTAAATTATCCGGGCAGTCAACAAGTGTTGTCGCATATTTTTACTTTTTGGGGTAATGAAACATTTATAATACTTTAAAATCTGATTAAGAGTAACAACTCATGAAGAAATTATCAATCTGAAGTTAATCGGATGATAACTTTAGCCTCTAGAGCATCACAAGATTTTTCAGAGTGATAAGTTTGGCAGTAATTATCGGAAATCGTTGAAAATCAATAGGATTCTTTATCTCATGACCTCAAACACTGTGTATCAATTTAAAGTCAATCTGATATTAACTTTAGCCTCTAGAGCGTCCACGAGATTTTTTGAAGTGATCAAGGGCCATAACTCTGGCAGTAATTATCGAAAATCGCTGAAAATGAATAGACTTCTTCGTCTCATGACCTTAAACACTGTGTATAAATTTAAAGTCAATCGGATATTAACTTTAGCCTACAAGATTTTTCAAAGTGATCAAGGGCCATAACTCTGGCAGTAATTATCGGAAATAGCTGAAAACAATAGGCTTCTTCGTCTCATGACCTTAAACACTGTGTATAAATTTAAAGTCCATCGGATATTAACTTTAGCCTCTAGAGTGTCCACAAGATTTTTCAAAGTGATCAAGGGCCATAACTCTGGCAAAAATTATCGAAAATCAATAGGATTCTTCGTCTCGTGACTTTAAACACTGTGTATCAATTTAAAGTCAATCGAATATTAACTTTAGCCTCTAGAGAGTCCACAAGATTTTTCAAAGTGATCAAGGGCCATAACTCTGGCAGTGATTATCAGAAATCGCTGAAAATCAATAGGCTTTTTCGTCTCATGACCTTAAACACTGTGTATAAATTTAAAGGAGCTAAATTGCTAACATTTGGGACCTAGAAATTGACAAAAGTGGGTCGCAACGCATATAATACTGTAATATGAAATGTATATAAACTGATTTACATTCAATGGTTTCCGTTTTACTCCAATTTCAAATCAGTTATGTTTGGCGAAATAAGCCAGCGTCTCAAGTGAGTGCAAATTTCTAGTGTCTGGTTATTCCAGTCTACATGCGCCGTTTGATTTGGTGCAATGTGTCTAGCCTCGTCCCTCGAGTCTCTTGATACAACTGGGGCTGAAGCGCATTATGGTACACGATTCGTGTACCAATGGTAAAATGTTTATTTTGTCTTAAATATTGGATATCAAACGCCCATCTTTTTCCAGTAAGATCACAACATGAATGTTGATTTAATTTGACAAATAAATCGTGTTTTCAATGTTGAAGATTTTGGATGATATTGAGTTTGAGACTTAGCTACTTTAAAGTGGGTAAGGCGCTGGCTCGCTAGCCTGGAGGTCGGGTGTTCGATCCCTGCATTGGCCGAGAAAGTTCATCTCGATTTGTGACCCCCCATGGCATACTGAGGAAATTTTGAAAATAGAGTTATTGTTATTTTCAAATTCTGTTATTTTGTTAGTTTTTTTATGCTAATTATCAGAGTGAATCGCATGTAGGTACCCAAAAACATAACCGCCTAGAGTTATTGTTATTTTCACATTCTCTGACTCATTACCTTCAATTTGATGTATAGTTTGTTTGAATCGGGCGAAAATTGACTGAGTTGTGACTGCTTAAAGCCACCCAACTCACCAAAGTAAGTTTTGAGAAAAATCAAGTTAAAGATTTGGTATGTGCCAAAACAAAAGCCATTTATTTACTGTTTTGTCGTTAAATATTGTTTTCTAGAGGTTTTCAGGGGTGCTGAAGACGGAAATTGTAGTAACAATTTGATCCGACAATTTCCGCCATCTTTTTTTTTTCAAAATGGACGCCAAAATGACAAATTTTCGAGTTTTCATAAGTTATGTGTTTAATAATGTCATTGAATGTTTTTTTGGGGGGGGGCTATATCAAACAATTACAGTTTGAGAGTAAATCCGATAATACCCGCCATTTTGTTTTTCATAATGGCGACCAAAATGATAATCGTAGTAGTAAAATTAATCCGTCAATATCAACCATTTTGTTTTATCAAAATGGCGACCAAAATGACAATTCTGTTGTTTTTTTATCACCGTATATTTGTAACCGTGTCATTTTATGTGTTTTATTAGGCATAAAGGTTATAGCATCAGGGGTCGACTGGGCTGTATCCTCCATCTTGTTTTTCAAAATGGCCACCAAAATGGCAATTATTGGAGTTCCTAAACTTGGTACTCGTGTAATATATCATTTTAGGGGTTTTCGGGGGTGCTGAATACGAAAAACATGGTGTTGGGTCGATGCAACGAATATTTATCATTTTACACATTCGATGATTTTATGGCCATTATATGCCATATCCGCGCATTGTATGCCATTCGGAACTGAATAGATTTCGTATGTGATCAGCTATTATATGTAATCATTCTTGTATTACAGACCGTTTAATCGTGTGTTGCCCATGTGTGCCATTCAAAAGGATATGAAATAATCTTTTAGTCGCGTTAGGGGCCCCGCGATTCTTGTCAGGCCCAGGGTTCCGCTCCGGTTAAGCTGGGCTTTGCCATCCCCGAAGCCAAGACTGTAGCTATGACATTAGAATGCTGACCAGGGAACAAACTATCAAAGTAAACTCTTTCATGACGTCTGTTCTCTGAAAGACATACATTAGACTAGAACGACTAGTTTCCGACCCCAATCAAATAGAAGTGTAGAAAGATTGTATTGTGAAAAAGACCAGGAATTGTGGGATGAATATTTACCACAAGTCATGTTTGCCTATGGATCATTTGTTCATTCAAGTACAGGCAAAACCCCGAATATGATGTTTTTTGGCAGAGAGCTAACTTTACCAATGCAGGCAATGATTGGGCAGCCAGCAAGGGAAGTAACTGAACAAGATGTAGACAACTATTTGTCATGTCTTCAACACAAAAACAAACAATGTCACGAGATAAGTTGGAAGTTCCTTGTTACAGGAAGAAGTACTATGACTTAAAGGACAATATTGGTGTCAGTCATTATCACATATGTGATCATGGGTGTCACACATGGGGGGGTCCGACCCCCCCAATTGTTTTTCTGGGAGGGTCTGAATATACTTGGACCCCCCCAAAAAATTTACATAGTAGGCCCAAACTCCTATTTATTTACAACAATTATTAGGATTAGTTAAGATTCTATCTGTATAAAACCTGTACATATCCCAATATGGTTTATACTGCTAAAATAAAACACACAGATAATCATCCTAGAAACATGTGTGAAGTGAAAAGTACCTGTGTTCCATAAAATTGTGTCTAGTTAGCCTGTCAGTAATATTTTGTTAGTTTTTTTCTGCTAATTATCAGAGTGAATCGCATGTAGGTACCCAAAAACATAACCGCCTAAACCAAATATTTATCGCCCGCTCAGCCAGCCACGTAACCATAATGCTTTTGCATGAGGTGTCTGTCTTGGTAGACAGCATGGCCACATGGTGTTTGTTTATATTTTTTAGGGGTTTTAAAAAATGGTTTAGGGTTAGGGTTGCGGACCCCCCAAATATATATTTCACGGCTACGCCTCTGTATTTGATAGAACTAATTAAACATGTTCCAAATATAATTTTGAAACAGAGATCATTGCTACGATAGCTGAGTAATACAGGTTTCCTGAATCGGAAGTGAAGAACATCAAAGGAAAACACAAGTCATACCTCTATATAACTGACTGATGTGACGAGTGATAACAGATACACGGCCGAATTTCTGCTCACTAATAATTCATTCCAAGACCAAAAGTTGTTGTGTGAGACTGTGAGAGATAGGATATCTGAAAATTCATAAAAAGAATTGACTGCCACTAGATAAGAGAACACGAAAGAAAAACAGAAAGATAGGTTGCCAGACAACGAAACATACGCCCACAGCAGCTAAATTATCTGGGCAGTCAACAAGTGTTGTCGCATATTTTTACTTTTTGGGGTAATGAAACATTTATAATACTTTAAAATCTGATTAAGAGTAACAACTCATGAAGAAATTATCAATCTGAAGTTAATCGGATGATAACTTTAGCCTCTAGAGCATCACAAGATTTTTCAGAGTGATAAGTTTGGCAGTAATTATCGGAAATCGTTGAAAATCAATAGGATTCTTTATCTCATGACCTCAAACACTGTGTATCAATTTAAAGTCAATCTGATATTAACTTTAGCCTCTAGAGCGTCCACGAGATTTTTTGAAGTGATCAAGGGCCATAACTCTGGCAGTAATTATCGAAAATCGCTGAAAATGAATAGACTTCTTCGTCTCATGACCTTAAACACTGTGTATAAATTTAAAGTCAATCGGATATTAACTTTAGCCTACAAGATTTTTCAAAGTGATCAAGGGCCATAACTCTGGCAGTAATTATCGGAAATAGCTGAAAACAATAGGCTTCTTCGTCTCATGACCTTAAACACTGTGTATAAATTTAAAGTCCATCGGATATTAACTTTAGCCTCTAGAGTGTCCACAAGATTTTTCAAAGTGATCAAGGGCCATAACTCTGGCAAAAATTATCGAAAATCAATAGGATTCTTCGTCTCGTGACCTTAAACACTGTGTATCAATTTAAAGTCAATCGAATATTAACTTTAGCCTCTAGAGAGTCCACAAGATTTTTCAAAGTGATCAAGGGCCATAACTCTGGCAGTGATTATCAGAAATCGCTGAAAATCAATAGGCTTTTTCGTCTCATGACCTTAAACACTGTGTATAAATTTAAAGGAGCTAAATTGCTAACATTTGGGACCTAGAAATTGACAAAAGTGGGTCGCAACGCATATAATACTGTAATATGAAATGTATATAAACTGATTTACATTCAATGGTTTCCGTTTTACTCCAATTTCAAATCAGTTATGTTTGGCGAAATAAGCCAGCGTCTCAAGTGAGTGCAAATTTCTAGTGTCTGGTTATTCCAGTCTACATGCGCCGTTTGATTTGGTGCAATGTGTCTAGCCTCGTCCCTCGAGTCTCTTGATACAACTGGGGCTGAAGCGCATTATGGTACACGATTCGTGTACCAATGGTAAAATGTTTATTTTGTCTTAAATATTGGATATCAAACGCCCATCTTTTTCCAGTAAGATCACAACATGAATGTTGATTTAATTTGACAAATAAATCGTGTTTTCAGTGTTGAAGATTTTGGATGATATTGAGTTTGAGACTTAGCTACTTTAAAGTGGGTAAGGCGCTGGCTCGCTAGCCTGGAGGTCGGGTGTTCGATCCCTGCATTGGCTGAGAAAGTTCATCTCGATTTGTGACCCCCCATGGCATACTGAGGAAATTTTGAAAATAGAGTTATTGTTATTTTCAAATTCTGTTATTTTGTTAGTTTTTTATGCTAATTATCAGAGTGAATCGCATGTAGGTACCCAAAAACATAACCGCCTAGAGTTATTGTTATTTTCACATTCTCTGACTCATTACCTTCAATTTGATGTATAGTTTGTTTGAATCGGGCGAAAATTGACTGAGTTGTGACTGCTTAAAGCCACCCAAATCACCAAAGTAAGTTTTGAGAAAAATCAAGTTAAAGATTTGGTATGTGCCAAAACAAAAGCCATTTATTTACTGTTTTGTCGTTAAATATTGTTTTCTAGAGGTTTTCAGGGGTGCTGAAGACGGAAATTGTAGTAACAATTTGATCCGACAATTTCCGCCATCTTTTTTTTTTCAAAATGGACGCCAAAATGACAAATTTTCGAGTTTTCATAAGTTATGTGTTTAATAATGTCATTGAATGTTTTTTTGGGGGGGGGCTATATCAAACAATTACAGTTTGAGAGTAAATCCGATAATACCCGCCATTTTGTTTTTCATAATGGCGACCAAAATGATAATCGTAGTAGTAAAATTAATCCGTCAATATCAACCATTTTGTTTTATCAAAATGGCGACCAAAATGACAATTCTGTTGTTTTTTTATCACCGTATATTTGTAACCGTGTCATTTTATGTGTTTTATTAGGCATAAAGGTTATAGCATCAGGGGTCGACTGGGCTGTATCCTCCATCTTGTTTTTCAAAATGGCCACCAAAATGGCAATTATTGGAGTTCCTAAACTTGGTACTCGTGTAATATATCATTTTAGGGGTTTTCGGGGGTGCTGAATACGAAAAACATGGTGTTGGGTCGATGCAACGAATATTTATCATTTTACACATTCGATGATTTTATGGTCACCCATTAGTTATGGTCACACCTTGCAAGGTAGGGTATACCAATGAAACGACGGTATTCAACACCTTATGCTATCAAGTATAAGAAAAGAGAAAATATACTATGGAGTTTTCGTATGGCACGGTTACGATGCCAGTGTATAGAAAGCTGTAAACAAACGCTATTTACAGTGGATATAATTGCATTACGAGAATTTAATTTATTAATTCATCGGGTATGGGTGACTGTTTAACGTTCGAGAATGGAAAAGGGCGAGCTCTCAGTTGCAAATGAATTGAATGTACTGACATCTGCAGTTTTTAGAAAAAGCAAGTTAAAGGTGTCGGTATATTCTAAAACAATATCACACAGCAACCATGCCATTAAATCTTTCGTTATTTTGTCGTTTAATATTAATATTTTCTTCTTTAGGTTTTCAAGGGTGCCGATAACGAAAATCGTAGTAAATGCACTCTTTTCATAGTAAAACATCCACAACACATGCGGCATATTCACATTTCCTATGATAGCGTTATAATTTAGAACAGTGTATACATTAGTAGTCTAAGTTTGTATATTATAACTTTGGTGAGATTAAATGAAATGAAATGAAATGAAATGGGGTTTAACGTCCTACTGTTCTGCTCCTATACTGGGCTAATGAAGACGGGCATACGCCATACAGTGTGCTATGAGGGAAATTTTGCCCGGGCAGCGACACTATCGCCTACTCTTATATCGAATTCCAACTGCCAAGGGATCTTTTACGTGCATTCTAATGTATACACGGGACCTCGGTTTTTCGTCTCATCCGAAGGACTAGACAGCTGTCCTTGTCAGGCCCTCCGTTCTGCACCACTGACAAGGGGAAACCACGTCGGAAAATCAGGATGAACTTTCTCGGCCAATGCAGGGATCGAACACCCGACCTCCAGGCTAGTGAGCCAGCGTCTTAACCATCTAGCCACCGTGGCTCCCTTGGTGAGATTAACTTCAGTTCAGTTAATTATTTAGCACCTTGGTGCCAGTGGTCAGAAGATTAAAGTTGTTGATTGGGTAATCAAGTTTAGTAGCCTATATTAATCATCAAAGAAGCCGCCACAGCAGCATGCCTGAATTAAGATTTTGCGTGTACAATAAGTCTATTGTTATTTTAAGCCTGAGGTACCGTAACGGCATCAAAATATGAGTCCATAATAGAATAGAAATTTCAATTTCATTGGCATGAAATGCTTACGTTCGTTTTGGAAGCGGTGTAATTAAACAATGGCAGATTATTTTTCCCACTCGATAATCGTCGCGTTTCGACTCATGGTCGTTCTCATTTTCCCAACCTATGGTAATAATAGAATTTTAAACAATAATAATATCCAATATGCATTCTTAACTTTGCATGCCGTATGAAGCCACAGTAAACGTAATTCACCTATCAATAAAATTCTCTTCGGAAAGAAAATTATTGGCTATTTTGTTTATTTCCATTTAAGGACTATAAATTATTTTCTAACAGACCAAACGAGACATTAAATCATTGCCGCTTTGATTAGTTATTCGGAGTAAATAATGAATTGTCGGTGGCCTTATCAACGTTAATTGTCAATCAACTAATCATTAATCCGTGAGAAGTGATTACAGATTAGTATTACTCAATGGCACGAACGGCTTGTTGATTGATTTACAATGTTTTGATTAACACTCAACGGATATCTATATACGATCGGAATTAAGTTGTTGGTATCCGAGGAGCTTTATATTTTGTGCTTTTATCAGTTTTCAAGTGTAAATAATTTAATTAAATCAACCTGTCCATAATATCATAGTCATTGTTGTTACTAAACAACAACAATATGTTTACATTTTTAGGGATTTTAAAACCCTTTTGTATTTCTCCAAAATGAATTCATCGGCAATACTTTGGTCATATTTATAAACTAGAGATTCTCCGCTTTACAACGATGCCAAGCATTTTGCAAGAGGATTGACAGGTCGCCCAGCTGCGAGCAGAGAAAAATATCTAATTCTGCTAAGAATATTCAGAAAAAGACAGATTTAAAAATACGGTACTCTTACAAAACGTCCAAATAAAGGCGTTTTAAAATGTTTTATTGCTATTTTGATCTTTTGAGTCGATAGATAGTATATTTATAGACTCATTTTTGTGAAAATCTCAATTTCGATCAAAATCAATATTTTCGCTTATTTTGTCTCTTGTGCAAAATTAATTTTACCGCATTACGACTCATTTACATGCGGTGAGTCACATTTTCCGGCGTGATTTCCCCTTGTCAGTGATGCAGAACAGAGGGCCTGACAAGGACAGCTGCCTAGTAGTTCGGATGGGACGAAAAACCGAGGTCCCGTGTACACATTGGCGTGCACGTAAAAGATCCCTTGGCAGTTGGAATTCGATATAAGAGTAGGCCGTAGCGCCGATGCCCGGGCAAAATTTCCCTCATAGCACACTGTATGGCGTATGCCCATCTTCAATTAGCCCAGGTTAGGTGCAGAAGCGTAGGACGTTAAACCCCATTTCATTTCATTTCACTTTAAAGTCAATCGGATATTAACTTTGACCTCTAGAGCGTCCACAAGATTTTTTGAAGTGATCAAGGGCCATA